TAGAATGAATAAAATTAATCGCGTATGAATAAAACTCGATTAAGCAATATTACCAAGCATCATTCGTAGTGACTTTGGAGAGGTCTTTTTCCGTAACATGCGCGTACGCAAATCCACTGGAAAGAAAAAAGATTATGAATGTATGCGCTTACAATCCGAACACATTAAAAGAGAAAGTTCCTTTTTAATGAGTATATTTACCTGAACGTCGTCCCAAAATCTATGAAGCGTTTAAATATTACCAATATTACCTTATGAATAATACTGAATTGATGCTTTGAAAATTGAGAAATAATCCATCCTTACCAATAGCAACTACTACAGCGACGTTGTCACGTTCTTCTGTCTTTTTTGATTGCATATTACGGTAAGACGATTTATATGGTGGCTTATGCTGTTCGGCCATTACGGAAGTCGTTTTCGTTGAAAGAATTCTTTTGCCGCCCTTCACAAGATCGGGTTGATTTTATATAAACTGATCTGCACGAAACGGTATTTCAATACTCAATCGGTATGTATGCGGATAAGGCAAGGAATGACAAACAAAATGAAAGACAATCGATCTGAAATCTTAAAGTCTTCTTGCCGTTAGAATCCAACAATTTTTACGAACGTAAAAGTCAAGATAAGAAGAGTCATGGAAAAGACGGCACGAAAAAAAACAAGCTTGAAAGATGAATTAGAACTTTACAACTTCTTATCGACCGTATACTATTGGGACGTGTTAGTGTACATCTTCATCTGTTTATGGGACAAAGAAAAGTACTTATATGACAACGCCAACAGTAAACTAGCTTTTCAGCTTAAAAGTGACATGGAGAAGTTGTATCAATGTCGCGGAACACGAGTAGATGACGTTAACCGGGCAGAGGGGTTACTCGATAAATTCATGCGATCACGGGCTAAGAAGGAGGATTGCGATCGTTTTATTCGCAAAGCCCATGCAAATGTGGCATATAAAAAGATTACCCTACCGATACGCTTCGAGGATACCATCAGACATATGTCGTCCGATCATCGAAGCTCGCTCATGCAAACCTGTATGCAACTGCTTCGCAACCGCGCATCCACAGCTAAACGAGCGTATACAAACAAGGACGGTAAGAATGTGAACCTTGAAGATGCGAATGCAGACGGCGATATAGAAGCGGATAATCTGGACTCTCTCAGATACCAAGCAAGTTTAAGTAACTTAACCAATTTTAGGTGGACGGATGATGACGATAATAATGCTGTTCATTTGACGGAAGATATCAACAGCTTTCGTTTATTTCTGGAAGATTTTACAAGAGTTAAGGGCCGAGATATTACATTCCACGAACAAGAGGCCAGAAAACTCCTAGAAGAGTATAAATGCGGAGAGGGAGGAAGCTTGAAATCAACTTTATCCTCGGTATTAGCGCGTCGCGTAGTGGAGTTAGTACAGGATTCTATAGATAAATATTTCCGTCAAACCAAATTTGACACGAAGATTGAAGTTGATGTGGCCGCGACTGATATCGGCACGAGTTCATCCCATAACGCTGCAGACACTCTGGACAATTTTAATTCTGAAAACCTAGAGGCAGAAATAGTCGGAACTACGAAAAAACTTACGAAATTGCTAAATCGTTTTGTTGATATTCGTGAAGGCAATGATGTACTAAGTCAGGTTGTGTCTGCCCAAATTCGCCAACGGGTCCACGCGATTTTAGGTATTGGACTAGTCAACATTTTTTCACTTTTCATCGTTAAAAAACCCCCCACCTTCTTTTTTCTCTAACTTGTTTTCGAACCTTACTTGCTTAGGATTCCGTGGGTTTTCAAACGAGAACCATGGAGTAATCAAATCCATTACTGAAGAAGTCATTGAACTAATGAATAAATACCGAACGATTACTGATAAAACCAAGTTAGAACAGTCGGAAAAAGATGCAGTACGTATCGTGCGGGATTTCATCTGCATATTTATATTTCGACTACAAGCACAAGAACCGGTTCCGACGGTTGAGTTTATTGAGGCGGGCGAGAAATTCGATAGAGGAGTAATGGAAGGTTCCGCTGATGAGAAAAAGTGTAGAAATGCACGGGTGGAACTATGTTGGTTCCCGGTAATATCGACCGACATTGGTGATAGCAAAAAGCGGAAGACGTACAGTAAAGCGAGAGTATTACTAAAATATAGCGAGGAGGAAGACGACGAAGAGTATTCTAACAGTGAAGAGTCAGAATCAGCGGAATCTGAGTCGGAAGAATCGACTGATACTGATGCTGCTGTAGCTTTTGATAAAAATGAGGCTAAAACAGGAGCGGAAATTGTTAGTGATGTTAGTGATGTTGACAATACCGTTGGCGTTGATGTTGTTAATGTCGACAGTGATTCCTCCAAGAATGAATCAGATTCCGAAGCGCAAAACGCGATGATTAATAATAGTATTGGTAACACCAACGAATAGTATGTGCATTATCATTATCTATGGCGCGTAAAGTAGATATCACGACAAATGAGCAAATCTGTTATCCCTTTCTTTTTCTCCTGTACATGTATGAATTTTATTTTATATAAAAAGATTTTTTAACCTTTAAATTGAATAACCGAATAAAAAAAACTATTTTCAACCTCTACAACCTAATACTTGGCATCTCCACTTAATCTAGATATTATAGTTCATTGTGCGTATCACGCCTCTCTCTCGACAACCTCCCGATAATCATCCCAATTTTTCTGTCCAGTAACGGCATGTAACTTGTCCATCATCTCATCGCTCACAAACTGTAATTGTCTTATGTATTTCTTCCGATGAATCTTGTGTAATCGCCTCTCTTTCCCGACATGGAAAGCCTCTTCGTCCTCCGGGACACTAACTGATTCCTGCTCGATCGTCCTAGCAAGATTGTTTTTTAGAATACTTGCCTCGACACCAGTTAAACTTCTTTCTATTTCGCGCTCATGGATAGGAGCGAATCCAGGATAAAAGTGGAGAGTAAACCGAAGCCGACCACAGACCTGACTACTTGTATCGTCAGTCACCGTGTCGGGTATATGGCCTAGCATCATGTCGAATAAAGGAATCTCCACTTCGTGATTGACGCAACTTTGCAGATTACGCAGAGGATATTCGCCCTTGCCTATTGGGGTCATCATACCGAACAGACCTCGTCTGACTAGGCGGAACGTGATAGATGTGCGGCAGCGCTGGAATACGGCGAATTGCGTTTCTTCGTCCCACAAAGCGTCGGTACCTTTGGTAATGGTTGTTCTGCGTTCTTCCATACGCGGCTGGTCGATATCGTAAGTCAGGAATATGCGCGAATCTGATTCAAAAAAGGGATGATCAGTTAGACAATAAAACGATTAAAATGACGCCTAGTCAACAAACCG